TCTGTACGAATTTTTGAGTCCTTATTTGACAGAATTTCTATGTGTGTCTTCTATATGAAAAAGGGAACTTTAGGGCTGATCTTTTATTATTTAAAGGGAGTCATTTACAACATTGAAGGATCATACAGAGGAGCTTGAGGCTGAGATCAGAGGAGAAGCATTCAGAAGAAAGAAGAGATCAATCCATGGCGGTGAAAATGTCTTCCTCAACCATGAAAATTTTCACTCCAGTCATGCTTGGCTAAACGCTTTGCTAGGGTTATGATGTAGCCCTAGCTTAGCACACTGGTTTGATTGTATTTAATTATTGGAGAAACAATTTTTATCATGCATGATTATGTAATCTATAGAATTTTTAATTGACTTTTCAATAAAAATCGGCTTTAGAGTTTTAATTCAATTACAAATATTTTTCTATCTTATCTTAGATATTTTAATCTTATAATTGAACACAACTCATTCACTTCCTGTAGTTGTGAATGAGATGATTACACAATGATTTTTATCTGAATATAATATAATGTTAGAGATTTGATGGATTATGCCTAGAAAAGATAGACCATACTATACCCTAGAGTAAAGTAGATAGGTAGATGGTTTATACCAATCGAAGACAGTCCATGCTTAACTTTAAATTATATTATTTTCTAACTGAATTAATATGTGCTTGTAGGCGTGATTAATTCCCTATGCATGTTATATGATATATTTCCAATAAATTGATGCAATTGACCAGTGGTGCGATGTTAGTGGTGAAGTTTTACCCCAAGTCCTCTCTCTATATTTTCTACATCTTATTTAATTATTGTTCTTTATTTTATTTTCTATTTAGTTAATTTAGAATTAATCATCACAATTCGATTATCCTACTTTCAAGTTAATTTGGAATTTAAGAAATCTGTTGACAAACTTATTTTACACAAGTCCCTTAGGTACGACACCCTTACAAATAAACCCTATCTGCAAAGATTCATACACTTACGAGTGGTATATGTAAATCTCACAACACCATCCTATTTATGCTCTTTGCTGCATCCATGACAAGCTTAAAGTAAGCTCTTTATGAGTCTGAATCATTTTTTTAGTAATCGTGTAAATGAGCGATTCTTTTTATTTATTTGACTGAAAATGGACAATTTTGATTATGATTTGATAATGTATTATTTTTCTCAAAAACCATTTGGGCTTATTATTCATAGAGTACCACTTCACATTGAGCCCAGAAATTTGCAATTCTTGAAGGACTAGACCCATCTAGCTTAGTCATCGGTTCATCTAGTGGCTTTAACCATTGTCCAAGTCCGCATTGAAACCTTAAGCCCACCATTATAACTTGGGCCAAGTCCAGTTTTCACTATTGTTGTTGTTATTATTATTAATAATTACGAGTTTTTTTTTCTTCCTGAAAATTCAAGCAAACACCACCTTCACTTCATTATATGGTATGTCCCCATAGTATATTCTTTTTGAAAAAGTATATACTATATATATTTGAATTCATACATTCAATCTTTTTTTTCTCTTTAAGCAAACATATATGTTTCTATGTAATTGTCACCTTAGAGTTTATGAACCAGTAGAAAACTTTTCAATACTTTGTTTTCCCTTTGATTTTGTAAAGTAGAAAAGGGAGAAACCAGAATCAGACAGAGAAAAAATTGAGGAATTGGAGAAATTGAAGCAAAACGAAGAAGAGAGATGAGGAAATCAGAGAGAAAAATAATCGAACTCGAGAGAGAAGAGAGATGGAGAAATCGGAGACAGAGAGAGAAATTGTAATGAACTGTTTAGCTTCTTTGGACCTTTTTTTCCCTTCGCGGCGCGCAAAGCAATATTACTCTACCAAGATTGAGGAATGACGTGGCAATTACACATAAGATTCGGATTATTAGTAGTTGGCCAAACAGGTCGAAGAGAGTATCATTACTCTTTTTAATTATTATGAGTATTTTTTTCTCATGGTTATCCTTGCAAAAAGCCCTAAGGAGGATGATCGCGTCGTCTGGCCGAGCCAAATCATTTCAAGTAGCAAGGTTGTGCTCTGCAGCCTTGCGGGCGCCTGCCATGCACCTGCGGGCGCCCGTAAAATGGTCCAGAAAGATTACAAAATTGGGGGCCCCGCCATGCACTGCGGGGCCCCACCTAATGCCATGCCAAAGCCACTTTGACACCCTGCGGGCGCCCGCCAATCTGCTGTGATCTAAATAGTGTAATTTGAAAATGAAAATTGTGATTATTTAGAAAATATGAATATTTTGATTAATTCATTTCAAAACATCAAAAGATAACCGGAAATATAGACAAAAATCATTATGATTTGCTTGTTCCTTCAAATATTTTATCATCCAATCGTTGAGAGTTGTGAATTCTAATTTGTTTCAATTCAAACAATAGAACGAATATATAAAAATTTTAAGAAGAAGAGAAAATTACATAAATTAATTCAATCTCAAAAAGGAGATATTTGATAAATTTGTTACTAATGATAATGAAAACATAACCAAAAAAAAGTGAAAATTAAACAAAAGAACAACCAAATCTTCTAAAAGAATTGGAAAATAATATAATAATAGTAAAAGAACTTTATATTAGTGACTTGGTTCATAATGATAATCGGATTTGTGATAAGAAAAATCTTTATGAATAACAAATTTTTTGGAAGAAAGTGAAAGAAGGAAAAAAAAAAAAAAAAAATCTTAATCAAAAGGTCACTTTTATATTGTGGGGGTTCTTTAAGGTAAATTAATAATATTATTAAATAACAAAAATGATATCTGGGTACAACATACAATGCAGTGTCAAGCAAAAGAATCGGTCCTTGGGCTTGGGCGCCTCGGCCCCTATTTATAGGCCCAAATCCTTACACGAGTGGGAAAGTCCTTCAAGACTTCTCTTAGGGTAGCCATAATGGCTCTACTAGATATAATAGAGGTATTCTAGTCCTTTTATCTTGAGGATAGGTACCATTACATTAAATATCCATCCTTTCGAAGGCGGCAGCAGTTGAGATTCATTAATGTGATTAGTAGTGTCCCAGTCGAGGCGCGTGGGTTCCTCATCCTTTAGTTTGCTAAAGTATCTGGTGCTCTTAGCAAACACCTGACTCGAGTCAGGGTTGGTGACGTGAGGTGTGCCACGTGGCTTCGTGGAATTAATTCCCTATATATATTTTTTGCCTAAGGCCTCAAATTACATTAAACTCCATCATGATGGTTAGAAAATGGTGATAGGCAGTGAGCCTTGGAATTTGACTGATCAAGTAACAAACAGTAGGGGCAATTAGATTTTTGTAGGCCAATTATATATAAGTCCATGTCTTACATATAAATTGAGGAATTATCACTAAACTAGAATCTTAATTCTTATCCTCTATAATATAACATTCGCGCTATATCACATAGAATTCACTCAACTAAAGTTATGTATGTGGAAAAATTTCGTGGAAAAATTTAAGGAAAAAGAAAAACAAAAAAACTTTCAGCGTTTTAGCTTTAAATTCTAACAAAGAGCAAGAAAACTTTACTCTTTCTTGTCAACTTTTTTTTTCTTTTATAACAAAAGTATTAACGGAGTTTTTTTTTTTATTAAAATATGTTGGTCTAGCAGAAACAATTAGAGGCCATTCATCAATCTCTCTGTTTGAGAAATAAAATAAAATAAAACAAAGGTTGCAAGTGATCCATTGGATCCGAATCCAATACCATTTAAGTTACCCGAGACTATTGAAACAGAATCGCTCATTTACAGGATTACTCAAAAATTGATTCAAACTCATAAAGAGCTGTACTTTAAACATAATTTGCAGGTTATCTCAAGAGCATGCCGATTAGGATAAATACTATATTCATTCGAAGTAGATTTTCCTAGACAATGTAAATCTTCTTATTGACTATGTGTGTCAGTGTGTATATTTATAGAACCACCCCCACTGCACATTAATGAATGGACCTACACAATACTTATTTCAACTTTACATTTACTGTTGAATATTTCAAATGCATATTATCAGTTTGTGTGTGTGCAGTGTGATTCATATATATTATATATACCCAATCGATTGGATTCAAATATTTGTTAAATTACTTATGGTTAAAATTTTAAATTATTATGAAAAAAAAATGAAAAAAATAATATCTCAAAATAACTGCTTTTTTTGAGGAACCATGACGTCTCTTTATTTTGAGACAAAATGAGTAATAATAAGTATTTCATTACGAGCCATATCAGGTTGAGTTTAAAAGATGCCTTAGTTTAATGTGCTCAAACACTTTTAAATCATAATATATATAATGGTAAAAGTGTAAAACTATGATCCGAGTCTATGTTTGATTAACATGGTCTTCATGAAAACACGCTAAGTGAGGGGACTAAATTTTTTTTGTCACAATAAGTGAGGTGATTAATTTTATTCTATTTATTCATTTTTGTGATGTATATGATGTTTCTTTTTTCTTTCTTTCTTTGTTTATAGTCTTGACAAGAAATTTATACTCTCTTGGAGAAAATTATGTAACCCTCCCAAATTACATATAGGTCCATGTGTTATATATAGATTGACAAAATGTCACCAAACTAGAATCTACAATATAATATTCGTGCTATATCATATCGAATCCATTCACCTAAAGTTGATGATGTTATGTGGAAAATTTTCCAAGAGTGATATGGCGCGTAGAATACACACACTCATCTAAAATTATGAGCGTGTGGAAAAGTCTCAAGGAGTCCAGAAGAAAGTATGGTTTTGGGCATCAACCGATATAGAAGTAGCTGATAGTCATATTCATATTGATGTACCTCCCTTGTATGTATATAATGAGTTATCTTGTGAAGTCGTCTCTTTGTATAAGCATTTCTCTTAGTCCTACCGATACACACACATTTTATCGTATTTTTTATTTTTCTCGGTAAATAAGAATGGTAAATTTGTTGGCTTAATGTAAAGTTGTGTACTCGTATGTATAACTTATAATAAAGCCCAAATGGGTTGAGATAAATAATACTAGAATGAAGCTTATATCAATATATGAATTAGGTTACGGAAAAGGCATGAACACATCATAACATGTGCTCAAATTTATTCTACAAAACTGATTTGAAACCTCATAAGTGGATTTCACTCACAGCTTTTATTATAGACTAATTAAGTAGGTAAGAAGACAGTGATCAAGGGCAAAACACAACCCTATAGTTGGTTCCACCTGGGCAGCCTTTTGTGGCAGTATCATCCTTAGGGTAACTATAAGCATCCGGGCACCTGTCCTTGAAAAACTTGGAGTATTCAGTGGGCCCACAGTTCCCGGAATTGCAACAATACCGATCCGTCTTGAAGACAGTACACGGGTTATTGCACCCGCCCAGTGCCTTCAATTCATTCGGGCACTGACCGACAATATCCGCGGTACACCGTAGGTGAGGGCATCCATTGGCCGTGGGGCTAAACTCCATGGGCACATTGAACCCGTCCACAAGAGAGATGTCATAGAAATCCTGGTTCATGTACTGGTTTAACCCATACTCGGCGAGGGTGTTTGGGGGCACACCATACGCATTGCATTCCAGGAGCCCATTGCAGTCACCGGTATTACACTTGCCCCGCCCTGATGCATCGAAGTTGCAACCGGTTCGAGGCCAGACACGGCCTCCTTGTGTGCCTGCCGGGACAGTGATGTCCCATGTTTGGCCGTGGTCAAGCCGCCTGCCGCCACCGGGCTTTGCCCCAGCCCAAACTACGTAAGGGCAGTTGTTTACGACGGTAAAAATGGCTGCATGGCTCAAGGTGATCAACAAAAGGGTAGTGACAAGGAAAATGTAAGATTTGGAGAAGCTCATGTTTGGAGTGAGAGAAAGTAATAGTTGTGATTGTGTGGTGTTGTTGAGGGAAGTGGGTTGGGTTTTTATAGGGGAAGGGTGGCTCTGGGTTAGCTCACAGGAAGGTCACTTTTTTAATATCTATGGAATTTTTAGTTAGATGGTCATGATGATTACGTCATTTAGCTCGACTCTAAGACAAGTCAACAACTAGCGTCAATCGAGGAGGATATTTGATAATTATTTGTTGTGATTTGTCTTTACAAAAAATAGGTTAAAATTACAAAAAATAGGTTAAAATTACACCGAAGCAACAACGTTGAACGCTATTTGTAACATTTTTGTATCAAATATGATTTTATGTTTTTGTTTATAAAAATTTTATAATAAATATAAGTCAGCAAATATGTTTTTGAAATCCGAATAGTATTGAACACACTTCAAAATAAAAATATTATTTATGTTTCGAATTAAAATAAAAGTACAAAATAATTGTGTTTTCCAAACAGACTGACCCAAAGCCCTTTCAAAATTTGTATATAGTCCGGGACTTAGATGATTCTAACCAATCACAACGCACTACAACAAAACAGGTTTTCAGCTATAAAATATTTATCACGAAATCAATTTCATATTAAAGAGTAGTATATTTTGGGTGACATTTTTTTTTTAGAACAGGAAGATTATTAGTTTATATATTTGTGTGGAATTCATATTTACACACAAGTTGTGCTAGAAATCATGAATTTTTTTAGACATTAGCAAATTTTATTTTATAAATTTCGTGAAATTAAATGAAGCTTAAAGTCGCACCAAATTTCATAAAATGATATCCTTTTTCAATTCTTTCTAGCCAGTCAATGTTAATAAGCCTTATTCTTTCCTAAAGATTTTTTTTTTTCCTTCATAATCTCGATAGGATCTTCAACTCTCTATCTTTTAATTTTAAAAGGAAGTATGATCGTTAATCTTCTTGCTGACTATATATATATATATATATATATATATATATATATAATTGGATTATTTCATATGAATGAATGGACTTAGAATTAATAGCATGTGGGAAAATCTCAAACAGTGGTGCTCCACAGAATTTAGTACTCGCCTAAAATTAATAATTGTGTGGAAAAGTCATGGATTGCAGAGGAGAGAATTATTCGCAGCATCAACCATACTCAGGACCCCATTGTGGGGTAGCCGAATCTTTAGAATTGTTACCGCTTAACTTTCGGCTTTTTAGCGTTTAATTCTAATAGCAAGAAAAATTTACCGCTTCTTGTCAACTTTTTTTTTTTTTTTTTTTTTTATAACAAAAGTATTAACGGAGTTTTTTTTTTATTAAATATGTTGGTCTAGCAGAAACAATTAGAGGCCATTCATGAATCTCTACGTTTGAGAAATATAAAATAAAATAAGATCAAACACTTTTTTTCGACTCTTTTTCAAATTTAATAAATATTTGATTTTATTAAAATTTATTAGGGTAAAAAAAAAAAATTGGTAATCGATACCTATCCTCCCTTTTTCTACAATTGCACTCCACATTATTATTTTTCTTAATGAAATGATAAAAAGATCACAAATTCATTAATACATCATCCCTTATTTTATAATATTATAATTACTCTTTTCATTATAAACTTTAACTCTCTATTTTTTTACTTCTTACTTAAATTTTTCCCCCTTAAATATAGAATTCATTCAACAAAACAATATCTATCATAAATAAAATAAATTGTTATAAGCCTCAAAATGATTTAAAAAGTTACATAGTATATACTTTTTCAAAAAGAATATACTATGGAGACATAATATATAATGAAGTGAAGGTGGAGTGTTTGCTTGAACTTTCAGAAAAAAAAATAATAATAATTAATAATAATAACAAGAAAAATAACAGTGAAAACTGAAATTTCTTTACTTAAATTTTCTCCCTTTAAATATAAAAATTTATTCAACAAAACAATATCTATCATAAATAAAATAAATTTTTATAAGCCTTAAAATGATTTTAAAAGTTACATAGTAGTGTATATACTTTTTCAAAAAGAATATACTATGGAAACATAATATATAATGGAGTGAAGGGGAGTGTCTGCTTGAACTTTCGGAAGACCAAAAAAAAAAAAAAATTGTAGTAATAACAACAACAGTAAAAACTGGACTTGGCCCAAGTTATAATGGTGGGCTTAGGCTTCGAATGCGGACTTGGACAATGGTTAAAGCCACTAGAAGAACTGATGACTGAGCTTGATGGGTCTAATCCTTCAAGAAGTGCAAATTTCTGGGCTCAATGTGAAGTGGTACTCTATGAATAATGGGCTATGAGAAAAACAATACGTCATCAAATCATAATCAAAATTGACCATTTTCAGTCAAATAAATAAAAAGAAATCTGTAGTAAATAGATAAAAAATAAAAATAAAACAAAGGTTGCAAATGATCCATTGGATCCGAATCCAATACCATTTAAGCTATCCGAGACTATTTGAAACAGAATCACTCATTTACAGGATTACTCAAAAATTGATTCAAACTCCTAAAGAGCTGTACTTTAAACATAATTTGAAGGTTATCCCAATGGTGCTCTCATCATAAGTTGATATACTTAATTGAAGGGACTGGAAAAATAAGAAAATAGAGGATAATGAGAAATTGCTTGTATTGAAAAAATGAAAAAGCAAATAGCCAAGTTTGATATGCATGAATGAAATTGAACGAGAATATGAATAAAATGGAATGGTCATTCTTATTTTATTGTTAGGTTTCGAATATGAAATAATGTAGAAATGAAATGATAATCATCATTTTATATAGTGGTTGTGGAAGTCGAAGACAATGATGATAGCAGAAGGAGGTGGCAGCGGTAGAAGGCAATGACAACGACAGCTAGGGAGGGCGGTGGCAATGGAAGGTGGTGGTGACAACGGAGGGCGGCGGTGGTGAAAGGTGGCGAGAAGGCAGTGGTGATAATGGTGACAGCCAAGAATTTTATTCATTCTAATGAATTTTCGTTCCTTTAAATATAGATGTGAAATAAATTTTTATTTCATAGAATGAATTATCATTTCAAGGGTTATCATTTATAAAGTAGGCCTGATAGAATTGAGGGATGGTTTAGCCCCTGAATTGCATTTTGTCTACCCTGTTAAAGTGGAAGTATTTGGAGGAAAAAAAGTATTACGTATTGCCCCTTTAGCCTTAATTTATACTGTATTATAAGTGAAGATCACGTGTGGTTATAAGTTTTTGATCAATGTGCAAAAGTTTTAATTTTTTTTTTTTTTTCCTAAATAAAAGTTTTAATATTTAAATGATTCGCTTTGGTAATAGAGTCTTAAGTTTGAGAATAGGTATTGTGTGTACTCGGTATACTTGACACATTACAGCCGTTCATATTATATACACATGTCGTGTACCGGATATATCGTATATATTATCCTAACTTGAATGATATGATATCTCATTTTTTAAAAGAAAAATTGAGTCTCCCAATAAACAGATTGTGAGTATTAAGTAAGTATGTTTATTTTAACTCAAGGTAAACATATATATACATATTGTTTGGCTATAAAAAAAATTTGGCAGTGTTTTTTAACTCAAATCGAAAAGGAAATCGATAGTTATACAAATTTAGGATTTTCATTTTCCTTTTTGGGTTATCTCAATAAAGAGGGCTTTAATAACATAGAATGAAACATATGAAGGGAGTAAAGAAAACTGAACAGACGTTCACCAAGACAGGGTCAAACGTCCAATTTTACTCCATAAGTATTCCATGAGTGCAATTCCAATAAAAAGTTACATGGGAATTATTAATACACTAAAATTCTAGTCATTAAAAAAAAAAAAAAATATACGTGTAAATGATAAAAAAAAAAATACAAGAAAAAGATTACATTGTCAAAAAATATGTTGCGTTGGTTGGGGGACCTTTGCACATACTCCCTCTGACCATATTTATATTTACTTCCCAAGTAGTTGTCCAACATTTCAAACTTATACTTGAAACTTCTACGTAATTTTAAATTCAAAATTCATTGTTTAAATTAAATACAATTGTTGTCAATTTGAAACCCCGTGTATCATGTCTTTGATGCCGTGTATTATCACCATGTGGCCAATCAAAATCGTCTACACATAGTTGCAGACTTTGACTTACATCACATCTCCTAGTATTGGACACTTCTCATATGGCAACCAGATTCTTAAAGAACCAATCAGCATTAACTTATTAAGTCACTTATCATTGTAACAAATATCACGTGCAACAATAGACAAAATAATTATAGTCATTTTAATTTACGAAATTACTCCACCTGTTGCATCAATTGGCTAATTTGATTCTAGCCTAGTGACCCATCTTAAAATAAATAAATAAATAAATTATTTTTAAGGTGCAAACATACACATATATATGTTATATATGTCGTGATAAGAACATCTAAATACAATTTTTATTTCATTGCACATGTTTTCATACCCCTCCCCCGTTAACGTGGGGGTAACGGACCGAAAACCTAAACAAAGTATATTTGTCATGTGATATTGATTAATTATTTTTTTAGATGAAATTGTCTCTTACTTTAGGGGTGCTCTCAGATCGAATTAAGTATCAATTTTAATCTGATCTGCTCCCTAACGAATTCGAAAAATCTTAATCCGCCCCACGGATCTGTGGGATAACGGATCGAATCAGCGAATTTGGGTTTAACCTAAATTGTCCAATATTATTTATTTTATAACCATAGCCTAATAGATAAAACTTCAATTTATCAATAATAATTTATATATTTAAAAATTATTAACTAATTAATTATTTAATACATTTATTATATATATATATATATATATATATCTCATGGATCGGATCGGATCGAATTTTAACAGCCCATTCTTGATCCGATCAATGAGACACGGATTCGATTTTTTTGTCGTCACTGATATGTGGGTGTAGTAATCCATTTCCATCAGCATGGAACAGATTGGATTTGCGAATTCACGAATTATTTGTCTACCCCTACCTTACTTGGATATATACCCTATACGTAGACCTCCCAAACGTAATGATGTTT